CCACCCCCTAGCAAAAGTCCTATTTGCGCCTCTGATTGTGTTTCCCAGTGTATTCATAAACTTCCAATGTTTTTTCTTTTATCAGTTTTGCGATTAAAGGTTACATGCATATTAACATATGTATCTATGTACAATGTACATATTAACATATGTATCTATGTACATATTTTAAAAATGTTTTGAGGGTGAAATGTCAAAATCATGTACTAATGGTTTAATTCATTCTTGTACAAATAAAAGTTTTAAACCTTCTTCTGTTGATGTTGATTTAATTGCTTTACGAGCGTTTAGATTAACTTATATATTGGCACCCTTTCATCATTAATCATGCTACATTTTTAATCCTGGAAAAAATTCACAATTTGAACAATAAATGAAACCAAAACTTTCAAAAAGTTTTTACTTTTAGGAAATACAGAAGCTGAAAATTTAAAATAAAAAAAGATAGAAATTACCATAATCCATGTTGTAATACCACTTCTCTTGATATTCATAACAGGAACCTCTGAGACATTTTTAAACTCATTTTGAGCAAAGATTAAAGGTACTGTCGGCGTTATTTCAAGTGACCCTCCATGGCAAAATCCATATAAGCATTAATCTGATCAATGTGTGATTAATGATGTCTAGCTTAAAGGGACAGTAAAGGAAAAATGAAAGGGGGTATAGGCTGAAAGCTAATCACTTTAGCTCTTGATCGCGACCCATGAAAGTTTTATCTGATGTTCCTGTCTCGAGAAATTGATATAAAACTGTGTTAAAATTATACGAAAGTTCATATATGTAAAATTTAGAAAATCTTAAACTTAAATCACGTGACCAGAACTATCACCAATGGCAGAGCAGTATACTGGTCACGTGTCTCCGCCTGTATCACGTGACCACTTTACTGCACTGCCATTGGTGGAATTTCTGGTCAAGTAATACGGACGTAAAAATAATATTATGAATGAAATCTATTGAAAATAGAAACAACAAATATAAAAGTAAACCTAAATTACAATTAGCTTTCACTGGGATATAATCGTTTTCAGATTGGTTGCTTATTTGCTGAATATGATCTGTTTAAACCTACTACTTTTATACAAAATTTTATATATATTAATTTTCGTATAGATTTGACACAGTTTTATATCAATTTCTCGAGACAGGCACATCAGATATGACTTTCATGGGTCGAGATCAAGATCTAAAGTGATTAGCTTTCAGCCTATACCCCCTTTCATTTTTCCTTTACTGTCCCTTTAAGTCACTTTTATGGAGAAACAGAAAATGAATGTCTCATTGATTCTTGATCAGACTGAGCTTTTAAAGGGAATGACCGGCTCTGTAAGGTAGTTGAACTGAGTATACAGTGTTGTGGAAAGCTTCTTTAGGATTCATTTGGGACATATAAAACTTTTTAAAGATCTGAAAATCGTGAGTTGGAGCGCAAATTCGACGTTCAAAACTCCTACTTTGGGGGTGGATACGTTTTCAGAATCGGTTTTTTTAAAATTACTAAGTAACGACGACGAAAAATAAAGTAAAAATCATACAGTAATCTAATTAGATGGTTGGGAACATATTTCTCAAAAAAAATTTGTCAATAAATCAATGCTAAAATCAATTACTTCGTTTTCATCATTATATTTAATTTCTTATTTTCTCTGAATTTATTCGCTGATTTCTTTAAATTCTTCAAATTTCGTCTTTTCAATAATAATTCCTGAAAATCTGCAGAAAATCTTTGTGAATAATGAGAAACCAGAATAATGCGAAAATAGAAACTAATAATTAAACAAGATTACCTATTTTCGATGAAAAGATTAATTTTTATTTTCTAAACCGGTTCCTAAACAACTAATTAGTTTACTGTAGAGTTTTGTTTACATTTTTTGTCGACACTATTAAATAATACTCAGTTCAACTACCTTACATAGCCGGTCTTGTACATAAGGGTATCGTTGAGAATCAGACATGCCACTCTATTAATCGAGGGTCCCTTGAAATTGCGTTTACAGTCCCTTTAACATCTTTTGAATTGAATTTGAATTTGAGATTAACAATTCAGTGTCAAAAGGATAACAAAAGACTCAATAGTTTTTAATCATTACAGGAACGAAATTTAATAAATATTTTTAAACATGGGCATCTTTTTGGCAACGAACGATGGATAAACAACTTTGGTCGTTCAGAGAAATAAAACAAACGATAACAAATTTCAAATTGTAAAACCAACTTGAAAAAACGATAGTTTTATTTTACCTAACAAACTAGCCCAACTATATTAAGTCCAGTCCCAGGTGAAACTAGGGCTAGGCGTTGTTCCTGAGGACTGATCGTTCTTTCACGGGAAGGAACGGAATGATTAAAAAAGTAGGAACATCTCCAGCCCTAGGTGTAACATATTCTTACCAGTTGCAAAAGATCCATCCATACAACATCCGTACTTAGAAGATTCACATCCACATCCCTTTAAATAGAATTGCAAATTCATTGAAAAAGAAGGAAAGTACAGTGCTACCCACAAAGGATGAGACTGTAAAGACGAAATACGACAATCCCTAGTTTAGATTAAGTCTTCTGCCTTGAATGTGTTTTTTAAATGTTTTGTTTTATGATTGACAAAGAAAAAAAGAAGTTTATAGTTGCAGTGCAGAGAATTATGAATTTAATGTAAATTTCGTATAATCATCTCTGATTATTTATCCTTTGTGGGTAACCCTGTATAAAAGCAGTTTTATGAAATTTATTTTTAAAGATGTCTAAACACGAGGAGTTAAGACATACACTATTAAATAAATGTTCTCACCGCAAACTAAAATTTTCTAATCCCTATATCATTGCAAGTTGATGGTGTAAGCCTTTGATATTTCAAACTCAGACTATAATTTGATTTACCAGAATTTATAGTTTAAAATATCAAAGATCTAAAACATGTTGCAAAGATAAAGGGTTTAAAAATCAAAGCTTTAGGCAAGAACGTATTTCCTTTATAATCTTTGTCTTTGCTGCACAAAATCCGATAGAGAACCCCACAATTCACTCTAGTATGCCGAGTCCATTAGCGATTGATCCAATCAGGGTTCAGTCATGTGTTTGTTGTCTATTCTGAACCAATAGAAATTGAATGGCGGTATCATCTATCCTTCTATCTATCTCATTATCAAATTAGTTATGAATCCTTATATTGGCGCTATAACAGTAAATGGAAATATACTTCTACTGAGACTATAATGAAATATAAATTAGAAATTTTAGTAAGGCAAAAAGATATTTTCCTACTATTTTCTTAGAAAAATATTTCAAGGGACTGTGACTGGCTGCTCTTTTAATGTAATTCGACACTTAAAATTACGTCTACAGTCATTTTAACTGGATAAAAAAATGACCTGGAGTCCTGGACCATCTGCTGGGGTCAACTCATCCTGACAACAGCCATAGGGTAATCTGTCACAATATTCACATCCCTCCAAGTTTGGGCCTCTGAACCATACAAGCTAACTCAAATGTAAAAGGAATTATCATCCTCTCCCTTTGAACATTTTAGGTGAGATGGACAAAAAGCATAAAGAATGTGGACATTTATAAGAAAGACATCATCAATTAATCAATGGTAAAATATTAAGGAGTTGAGCCTTTGCCACAAACTCTGATTTTCTAATCCCAATATCTTTGTAACCCAACATTGTTTACCTTAGATATTTTGATCTATGAATTAGAAAATCAGAGTTTGTGGCAAAAACTCAATTCCTTTGGAGAAAATATAGTAAAAAACAAGCCAAAAACAAACCAATGGAATGCCCATCACAATACACACATATATATTGTTATGCTATGCTTTACATGTAATATTATTCAATTTTAATAATTGATAAGCAATTAATTGTAAAAAAAATCTTTTAATGAGTTAGCAACCTACTGGGCAGGCGTGACACCATCAGGACAACAGCCATTTCTAAAATTAAATAATTAAAATCATGGAAAATGGATGTCTTTTCTCTTCAAGTGACCCTACAATTTATCTAATTACCTTTTTCAACAGTCCCTTTTATCTTATTTTTAAAACATGATCGTAAAGGACCCTCCTTTTATTTAAAAGATTTAAAGCAGTATTTAAATACAATGTTTTCTAACCTGAAGGTTTCACAGCTGCAACCTTCCAAGCCAGGCCCTGTGGCCTAAAATTTTTTTAAATTTTTTCAATTTAAAATAAAGTAAATTTTTTAATGGGGTTATTTTCACTCATTGGTTTTTAAATGGTAAATTTTCAAAAGGATGGTTCAGATCATAAATATGAAAAATCAACAAAGCGTTCATAGACATGTCAACAGAAAATTTGGATGAAAAATTAAATATCTTTTATAAAAAGGATTAAAACCTCTGTTTTCTGGTCTTCACAGCAACCATATTCAGTATATTGACATCCACAGCCCAACTTGTCAGGTCCTGTAAAAAAATAAGATTAATACGTTAAAATTGTTTACTTAAAGGACTAGTCCAATGAACTAAAAAATTGTAAATTTCACTTATTTACTTTGAAACAACGTCAAATACTTTACTAATAAGACTGCATTCTTAAATATTGTTTCCCTTTTTCACAGTTTTGTAGATCTTACAGGTCCATTTATCCACCAAATGTATGTTTTTTTTACAAAAATTAACTGTTAAGATCAACAAAAAAAACATTCTGACACTAAATTTTTCGAAAGTGTTGAATCATACAATTGTAATGTAATAACTTTTCAAAATATGCCAAATATTATTTTAGAACTTTTGAAACTTTATTTGAATTTACCTTTAGAAGGTGTAAGACGATCTGGGCAGCAACCGTACTGGGAGGATTTACAATCACAACCCTAAAAAGAGATTTTTCAAATTGGCTAAAAAGGTGGGTGGTAAATTTTTCAGCTTTTTCAACACTCTTACAATATCTAATCTCCTGTATATCTGTCATAATTTATCTCTATCCATCTCATGTTTAACTCAAGTAAAATGCATGTAAGATGTAAATCTTACATGTAACTCCTCTCATAAAAATGCCGTTGAAAAATGTTTTGAAATTTAACATGTAATCAAATAAATTTGCTTTTCTCATATTTGTGCGTAAAATTAAGACTAGAGGAGCTAAAAGGTCACAAAGCTGTAGCAGTAATGTCACTTAAATTTTGATGTGATCTATGAATTGTAAGGTTTAATGCTTTGTGTTACCAATGTTAGGTACTCTCCAGGGGGATAACAATTCGTGAACGTATAAAATGCCTTTTTTTGCTAAAAAATAGGTGAATTTTTTATTAACATAGGTATGTATGGTAGTTAGCAGATACTATAAAAGTATAAGATTTTTTTGTAAAATCTTGATAAAAAAAAAAATATTTAGCAAGAAATTCAACTTTAAAAATCTTTAAATTGCCTCTTTTTTTTCTTTAAGACTTGCTTAAGTTTTTGTCTTGGAAGTGACTGTAGTTTGAAAATGAAAAAAAATAATNCGCAGTGTTCGACCCCCTAGCCCATTCTAGTCACAGCGCTCGGCCCCATTGCATCCTGCTTTGCCTCAGAGGGCCAAACCAAACCCTAGGGAAGTTTCCACTTGGAAATTTAAAATTTGGGAAGTTGCCACTTGGGAAATTGTTACTTGGGAAGTAGCCATTGGGAAAATGCCTTAAAGAAAGTGCCTTTGTATAGGTATAAAAGTCAAGCCACTCAACTTAAAATTGTTAAATCAGGATAAGATAAATCAGTCTGGAGGTTCATAAGTTATGATCAAAAATCAAAACAAAGCAAACAAACAGACATTACTATTTTAAATATAAAGCTGCTATCATGAAAAAAGTCCTTATTTTCAAGGTAATTAAACTATTTTGAATTTAATAAAAAAATCCTGAAAATATTTATTCACTTGAAAGAAAAAAATTTACCTGGAAAAAAGGTCCTTCTGCATCAGAAAGATAGTCAGGGCAGCAACCATGCTCACTGTAGGAACAGCATCCTTTTCAGATAAAAATATATTAAATATAATGGAGAGTAGATCATTCTGCCCCCAATCTTGAGGGCATAATGATAAAACTTAAGAGATGTAATACTGCTTAAATCCTGCCATTCTGTTAAAACAATTTTATACATTTTTGAATTAATAAAAAGCCTAAAAATTTGTTGGTGAACAAAAAAGAGGATTGAATAATTTTAAAATTTTAATACCTAAGAAATTAGGTCCATGGGCTGGATGTTTATCATCTTGACAGCACCCATACTCAGATATCTGACAACCTATTGAATTCATTAAATACTTTTAAGTAGGGGTTGACATTTTTTTGGTTTTTTTCTAGCCATTCGTTAATAGAACTAGTTAAAACTGTTTAAATGTGTTTGTTTTTCAGGTAAACGGTTTTTTAGCTAAATAACTATTGACTAGGGTTTCCACCGGAATTCCGGGTTACGGTTTACATATGGAAATGATCCAGAAATTTTTTCCATTTCCATTATGGAAAAGGTTCCGGAAATCCGGAATTCCAGAACGATTTCCGGAACGATTTTTTCCCCGTAAACTGGAAATTTCCTGGACTTTGTTCTGGAATTACGGAACGTTACGGAATAGGGTTCCGGAAAATTCCGGTTTAAGGAACAATTGTTCTGGAATTTTCAGGAAAAAGGTTATGGAAAACGTTGAAGACATCTTAAACTTATGTAAAAGATAAAACCAGTAAGTAATACTATCTACAGAATAATAGAATGTAATACTTTTAAGTAGGGCTTGATATGTTATGGTTTTTTCTAGCCATTTGTTAATAGAACTAGTTAAAACTGTTTAAATGTGTTTGTTTTTCAGGTAGACCGCTTTTTAAATAACTAGCGACTCCTCTGTTAATTTTCAAAAATCTCCCTTTTGTTAATTGAACTTTGCCCAGCCCTACATTTTAGAAGAAACATTTATCATTTAGATATTATGATAATTAAATAAAAGACAATTCCTCAAAGTTAATGTAGGCATAATTTCCAGAGATACGATACCATTTAAATCATTAACTGATTAAGAATAACAGATATATATCTCTTTTTCTGTTGGAACACTTAAAATGGTTGAAAACTTTGTTTACAAGCTGTTTCATCTTTTTATTTCTTGGACTCGCAGGAAATAATTGTTTTTTTGGTCTTACTTTTAAACCCCCACTTGACAAGAGTTGTAAGATATTTGGGGAAAATGTGAAGTAATTGCCATTCACTTGAAATATGATCCACAGTCTTTTTCATCACAATTTCCAAAAGGGCAACTTCGGAAAAATTCCATTGGGGAAAAGTCATCTTAGAAATGCTTTTGGTAAGATACTTTTTACTTGAATTATAATAAAAGCTTCACTGTGCCTTTTTTATTTTACCTGAATTTCCATTATCATCTGGATAGCTAGAATCATCTTCATTGACATCATTATCATTAGAAGTTTGAGAAAGGTTATCTTCATCATTTTCATGTTTATCTTTTACTTCTTCAAGCTTGTCATTATCACCCTCCAGTTCATATTTTGCATCATTTAGTTCATCATTGGCATCATTGGATTCATCATTGGCACCACTCACTTCATCATTAGTATCACTCACTGCCTCAGTGGTGCCACTCACTTCATCATTGGGATCATTTAGATCATCATTTTGATCATTCCTATCATTATTGGCATCACTCAGAGCATCATTAACACCATCTAGTTCTTTATTGACATCTTTTGAACTAATCTCAGAGTCACTTTCCGTATCTTCACTTACTTTATCACTAATTTCTTCATGAATGGCTTCATTATTATTTTCTGGATTCTCCTCTTTTGGCACTATGCGGTCACTTTCATCATCAGCATTCACAAACAAATCTTTATCATTGTCATTTGTATTCTTCTTGTGGCAGGGGTAAATATTTTACATTCAAATTTCTAACAAAATATTTTCAATTAAAGAAGCCTCCTAAATAGTTTTTATTTTTAAAATTGATCAATCTTACTTAATAAAATGCATGTATTCAGCTGTGTAATTTTATAAAATGAAATATTCAAAATGATCCAGAAATTTTTCCACTATAGAAAATATTTCAGATCAAAACCAGGAATTTCAAAAAATAATTTCATAAACCAAAAATTTCCAAAACCTTTTCTTAAAATATTATAAAACTAAATACCCCTGCCCAGGTGGTACTATTTGAAGCTGTTTTATTCCCAAATGTATCCTCCAGCTGAGCTGAGTAATCATCATAATAAAATCCAAGCTCACTCTCTTGCCCAAAGAGGAAGGAAAAACAGCTGAGAAATACGAGAATACAAATCAGCTTCATTTTCATATTTCACTGTTCATCTTAAATATTTTCAAAAGTATTTAATATGACCATAGCTGAAAACTTTAGAATAATGGATATCAAGATCAATGATTGATATCCACAATGGATATATTTTAGTATTATTAAACACTGGATATATTGTAGTCTTATTAAATACTGGATATATTGTAGTATTATTTAATACTGGATATATTTCAGTATTATTAAACACTGGATATATTGTAGTATTATTAAATACTTGATATATTTTAGTATTATTAAACACTGGATATATTGTAGTATTATTAAACACTGGATATATTGTAGTATTATTAAATACTGGATATATTGTAGTATTATTAAACACTGGATATATTGTAGTGTTATTAAATACTGGATATATTGTAGTATTATTAAACACTGGATATACTGTAGTATTATTAAACACTGGATATATTGTAGTATTATTAAACACTGGATATATTGTGGTCTTATTAGACACTGGATATATTGTAGTATTATTAAACACTGGATATATTGTAGTATTATTAAACACTGTATATTGTAGTATTATTAAATACTGGATATTGTAGTATTATTAAATACTGGATATATTGTAGAATTATTAAACACTGGATATTGTAGTATTATTAGGCACTGGATATATTGTAGTATTATAAAATACTGGATATATTGTAGTATTATTAAACACTGGATATATTGTAGTATAATCAAACACTGGATATCTTGTAGTATTATCAAACACTGAATATAGTGTAATATTTTTAAACACTGGATATATTGTAGTTTTCTTAAACACTGGTTATATTGTTGCATTTTTAAATACTGGATATTGTAGTACTATTAAACACTGAAGTGTATTGCAGTATTTTTAAACACGGATATTGTATTGAATATGAGCAAGGTATACAAACTAAAGGTGGAGGGGATAGTGTTTATTTACATTTTAAGATAAATCATTAAAACTTTTGTAAACAAACGAGTGATCCATACTCTTCCCAGCTCCCAGCAAAGTTCTAACCATTACGATCTCATTGTTATTGTTTAGATAAAACCAGTTCCTAATATGATATTTGTACAACCATGTAAAAACAAAACTTGTTCCAAACAAAAATTTATAAAATTTCTAATATTTTGTTTTTAATAAAACATTTAGGCTGAAACAACTGAAAAACAAACCAAGTAAAGGAATATCACTAGTATGCGTATATATAAGCACTAAACTGCTCGAGCTATAAAGAGCGTCCCATATCATATTGGATCATCTCCAAGCTTTAATGCCAAAATACGCACACATAATTCCTGGTATGGTATCTATTTTACGAGAAAATTTTTTAATTAGCCTTGTATTTTTTTTTTAAATGATTAATTTTCTGATTAGTCCGTTAAATATCAATTTAGAGTTATACACGATCTACTATGATGTGGGACACCCTGTATATATTAGTGTAACTTTAACTCTTGAAATTAAAACGTGAAAGGATTTGAGTCTTTGTCACAAACTCTGATATTAAAAGTTCTAACCATTACGATCTCATTGTTATTGTTTTGATAAAAACCAGTTTCTATAATATGATATTTGTACGTCCATGTAAAAACAAAATTTTCAAAACAAAAATTTATAAAATTTCTAATATTTCGTTTTTAATAAAACATTTAGGTAAAAACAACTGAAAAACAAGCCAAGTAAAGGAATATCACTAGTGTGCGTAAATATAAGCACTAAACTGCTCCAGCTACAGTATAAAGAGCGTCCCATCCCATATCATATTGGATCATCTCCAAGCTTTAACGCCAAAATACGCACATAATTCCTGGTATTTTTTTGCAAGAAAATTTTTAAATTAGCCTTGTAATTCTTTTTAAATGATTAATTTTCAATTTAGAGTTATACCCGATCTAATATAATGTGGGACACCCTGTAGCTGGGCCGGCCAACTTCAGACTAAACACATCACAGAGTGCTTCCGTTTCTGCAACTTTCACAAAACCTTGAAATCTTGAAAAGATTAAATTCTTTCTTGTCTTGAAAACAAATCTGCAACAGCTCAGAGATATATATAGTTCTCTTCATCATTTTAATCAATATTTTTTTTGTAGATTTTTGTAAACTCATAATAAAAATTTAAACTTTTTGACAAAAATAATTTAATGTTTTTTCCCGAAAATCCTTAGATGAGGAGAATTAAAAACACGTGGAGAATTTTGAAACGTAATGTGTAATCTCTAGTATTTCAATCGTAATCGTTTGTGAAGATTTAGAATTTTAGATAGAGTACAGTGAGAACTAGAACACTCTGGAATAGGAAGTCGACTTTTGGACTTTAAATAGTCCAAAAAACGTGAGGCACAGTAATTGTGCAGTGTAAACAGACCCATTCCACTTAATAGGGGATTTAATACATTACTAATAAAGCTATTTGCTTCGTAAAAACATCAAATGCACATCAGCATTGCTTTAATGTCGTCTTCCTATTCTACAGTTTTCTGGTTCTCACTGTACACTAGTTCACTCTATACCTGNAACCCTAAATGAACCATACATCGTAAGAATTTATCAAATGTCGTCAAATCTCAGTAAACCTCACTATTTGCGAAAATAAATAAATAGCCATGACTATGCAGTATGCAGGAATAGTTTCAAAGAGCTCCATATAATCATTCAGACAGTGAAGAATACGACATTTGATTAATTCTTTCGATGTTTGGCTTCTTTAGGGTTTAAATATAGATAGATATGTATTTCGGCTAAAATCACAATAATAATATGTTACATTTCTAAATTTTTAAATTTCTTAATAAATGATTCCTAACCAGGGCTACAACCTAACCATTTTTATTGATTGGCTGGCCCTCCTGAGTTTTAAATACTTTTTATTTTGGGAAATTAACAAATAACTAATGTGTTACACAAAGTAATTTAGAAAACAAAGAAAAATGGAGCAGGATCGCGACTTATGATATTTTCCAGGGGGGGGGGCGTTCCCCCTCCCCCCCATAAGCCATCTCTGGAAAGAAGGGGAAAAAAAGAAATAGTGGACCCAAGCTTTAAACATACAATTTTTGATTTGTTATAACTTTCAAAGTAGATTACAAGATTTACAAATTGTATGAGTAGCATTTCCTGTTTATCCAATTAAATTCCTTGGAAGCCGAATAAAGTTTTTAATATGTTTTAAAATTAAATACCTTTAATTCACATTTAATACCTATAATTCACATTTAATACCTATAATTCACATTTAATATTAATTGCAACACTAGTGTTCCAAATTCTCCCTACTAACCCAAAAACCTAAAAATATCAAAGCCTCTATATAGGTATACGTATTTTTTTTTGTATATTTATGTCAAAATTTGTATGCTCAAACCTAAAAATATGTATATTTTCGTAAATTTCATACCAAAATTTTTTTCACAGTTTATAGGTTTTTATTTTACATATTTTTACGTATTTTTGGTTTAATCTTAACTTAAAAAATTGTATTTTTTAGATTTGGAAAGTTTGATGCAAACCTAAAAATACGTATTTTTCGTAAATTTTATGCCAACTAATTTTTCAGTGTCAATATATTCACGAAACCTTAACTGCAGAAAAATGCAATTTTTAGTTAGAATTTTAAAATATTTGTGATTTTTAAAGAGAATTGTTATGTAAGAAATTTAATACAAACATTTTGGTAAATATAATGTTTCAAAATTTTTGGAGTAAATTGATGTTTCATTAAAATCAATGTCAGTAAATTCTAGGATTTCGTACTTCGCAAACTTTTTCGCGAAATTTCGCTTTTTTTGCGAAAATAAATGAAGCGAAATTCTTTTTTGTTTAAATTCAGTATTTTTTCGCGAAATGTTCGCATTTTTCGTGAAACGATGCGAAGTTTTCGTAAAATGATTTTCCTTTTTTCGCTGGAAGCCCTAGTAAATTCTCGATTTTTTGATAAATAGAAGTTCTATTTTGACAGTCTTGTAACAGGTATAATTATTATAATTAAAGATTTATTCACAAACATTTAATAAACATAAATATATTACATATTACAAATATTAATGGTATAGTTTAAATTTGTTTTGTTAGGAATGATGTTAGATGTATATTCATTATTCACTCTCATAATCTACAATTTTATAAACCTGCAAATTTTAAAGAAATCATATAACCAGCCTTTTGATAATTCATTTTTTTTTCAGGAATAAATATATTTCACTTAACTAAGTTGATTCAGGAAAAGTATAAAATTTTGGTAACAANCATTAAAATAAACTGGATAAATTCGCAATGCATCGTAATTGCATCAAAGAAATTGCAGAAACGTCTGCAAATATCGTTGTTTTTTTCGTTGTTTATATTGTCAATTGGAAAAATGTGAATTAAAGACATTTAAGAATAAGAATAGTATTGATCTAAAGGAAGAAGAAAGGTGACGAAATATCTAGTATTTTGACGGAACAAAGAAATTTAATTAGTAGTGTTCAATGACAACTCTATGGGACGTCTTATTACATCTATTTTACAAATGTTGATGACAAAAGATGCAAGCAACAAAATTAGTCAAAAGAAATATATGTTTGAATTTTAATATAGTTTTTAAATAATTTGAACTAACATTGTGTGAACTAGTAGCTTTTGAATTTTGTGCACTGACTGTTTCTTCAATCTTCATGATTTTTGCTTTTTTTCTCCCTTCATACCCACAACCTTCCTCTCCCAGACTCATATCCTTGTTCCTCTTCTCAGCTTCAACCTTTAGTTCAACATCAACTGTTCTCTGTAGTTTGGTGAGGTATGGAACCACACTGGTTAAGGAAATTACTCGAATAGACTGAATTGGATTGGATTAAAGATTGGAAAGAATAAAATTCCATATTTACACAAAACTGTTTTTTTCAGTAAAATGTGTGACAATTGTTCAGATTTCCAGCTTCTACTGTTAAGGATTGAACGTTCTGCTGAAACTACAAATTCAGGTATTTTGATCAAATAAATTAATAATTTTAAAGCAGAATCAGTTCAGATGATATTTTGTTTACTGTGATGAAATCTTTTGTTTTTTCTTAGAACAAATTGAAATGATACTTTAAAATTTACAGATTTGTCTTATTTTTAGTTGATTTTAACGTCTTTAAACCTTCCCTTCGATACATTCATATCAGTGGTGTACACAGGAATTTCCAAGTGGGGGGGGGGCTGAAAACCCCCTAGAAACCATACATTTTACTGATCCAGGGGGCGGGGCGGCTGAGCCCCTGTAGCCTCCTGTGTACGCCTATGATACATTATTCAAAATACATATTATACTAAAGAATGTATCGAGAGATGCATTGAACAATGAAAATATTGTTTTGTATCATTGGTTGTTGGTGTTTGTTAAAAAAACAGAGTCAAGGATCCATTTATTGGATCCGGATCCAGGTCATTAACATGTATTAAAGATTTGCTGATTTTTTGTTTAGTTTAATGCTAGAATTTGATTAACGATTCAGATATAAAGAAATTTTTTATGAACTCTCTTTTTTTAACATTTTTTGGTTAATATTTTAGCCGTGGATTCGCATTTTTGCGGACCCGGATCCAGGAAGCCAAAACGTTGCGGATCCGGGTCCTAAGCAATGGTCAATAATCATTAAAAAATAACTGGACGAGATTTTTATATACTTTAAATGTTTAGATAATGAGGGTGAGGGGGAGATAGAGTTAACAGGACAAGATGTCAACATTTCATTAAACTTTATCAATACCTGGCATCAGAAACAGTGCATGTGTATATTCAGGTTTGCTCGGTTTACTTTAAATATGGATTTATTGATTGATTGCTTAAAGAAACTGTAAGCGTAATTTTGAATGACCCTCAGATGCAAAGATAGCAATATCTGATTCACAACGGTACCCTTGAAACCTTTATTTGATAAATTATGTGAAAGATATTGTCGTGTTTTAGGTTTAAAAGTTTTTAACTTTGATAATTCTTACATGTTTACATGCGCAGTCACTTTTGTAGAGAAACCACAATTGAAAATGATAAGTTTTTGAAATTTAAACATTAACATCTCATGTATACTTGATCAGACAAAGATCGTTACTTAACAATTTATCCAAAAGTAATATATAGAAGTTAAGGAAATTTGATTGATAAATTGAATGCTTATTTGATTTTTTTCATACTCTTAATTATTATGAAGAGTATTTAAGAAGTTTAAAATAAAGGTTATAAATAAATGAACAAATTATTTTATTTTTTTATGATATTATTTAAACGTTTAATTGATTGATTGATGATGATTGATTGATTGACTGTGGTTGGTTGGTTGATTGATTGACTTGTCTACGCAGGGATGTGAAGAACATTGAAAGGTTCTCGACCCTAGTTCAGACAATTACTAAACTAGCGCTGGTTCGGCTTAAGCAGCTTCCAGCACTTCTACTGCCAGGTATTTACTTAAAGGGACTGTAAAGGAAAAATGAAAGGGGGTATAGACTGACAACTAATCACTTCAGCTCTTATCGCGACCCATGAAAGTTATAGCTGATGTTCCTGTCTCGAGAAATTTATATAAAACTCTGTCAAATTTTTATGAAAATTCATTTTTATACAATTTTGTATAGACATAGTAGGTTTAAACATTACATCATATTCAGCAAATACGCAACCAATCTGAAAACGAAGATATCCTAGAGAAACCTAATTTCAACTTAGGTTTGCTCCTCTGATCCTCTCCATGGATAAATATATACATTCTATTATAGAAGGAGATGGAGAGGTTGAGCCCCGCCCCCCTGATCCTGTCCAGGGATATATTGAGGAGGCGGAGATACTCGTAACCTATCTCTCCAGGTACTACACATGTATCCCCTTTTGCAGGGGTACAATTTTTCCTGATTATCCCCCCTTTACATTTATTAACCTGGAACTTAGTGTGCAGTCCTTCCTTTTAAAATACTAACAAACTTAAAACTTTGGATTTAAAGGTTTTTAATTAAAGAGATTGAGAAAATTTAGATATTCTGGCAGAAGTTGGATCAGTTTATTAATGTTTATCTAATAATGAAAGGTATTTAGGATGTTCATGCTACAGTTCCCCCTGTATCTAGCAGCTAAACAGGCAGGATCCAGACTTGAGGATCTTAACCATGCAGAGGCCACTAGTCTAGCAGTATTCCTTGATGTTGCAGGTCAGAGGTTTAATATTAATCATGTAGAGGCCACTAGTCTAGCAGTATTCCTAGACGGTTGCAGGTCAGAGGTTTCATATAGATAATGTAGAGGTCACTAGTCTAGCAGTATTCCTTGATGTTGCAGATCAGAGGTTTAATATTAATCATGTAGAGGTCACTAGTCTAGCAGTATTCCTTGATGTTGCAGGTCAGAGGTTTAATATTAATCATGCAGAGGTCACTAGTCCAGCAGTATTCCTAGACGGTTGCAGGTTTAATATTTTTGTAATAAAGTTAGAAACCATGAATAAAAAAGATAAAAACAATGGAGGAAAAATCCTTAACTTGGAGGAAATGATATAAATAAACAATTCGAATAGCTACGAGGAACCTACACTATCAATTTAATAACTTTATGATGATTGATTCATTTTTTAATGTTTTATATTGTTTAGGAGATATTGCCGATATTCCGTTGGTTCTTCTGCAGAATGTTGCCAAGTTCTGTAGGACTGGTGGACTACTGGCGATGACAAATATACTTAATCTTCCACCAGCAGTTCTCCCTCATTCATTTGCTCATGGACTAGGTATTTGATGTCTAATAGGCTTTTAGGGCGCTCCGCTCTATCTGTGAGCATCTTCTTTTTGTTTAATGTAAAACAAAAACAAACAAAAAATTCGCGGATTTAGTAACATTTTTTCGTGGATTTTCAAAATATTATGAAAATCTATAATATTTGGACACAAATTGTTTTAATTTTGAGCATCCATAAACCTTCACGGGGGTCCCACACAAAATTTTGGCCTGATCGATTCAGCCGGTTTGATGTTTATCGGAAAAATTGGACCGACCTACAGAAAGAAACCAACAGAGATACAGTAAGAGCCAGAAAATTGTAGAATAGAAAGCCGACTTGATGAACTAAGTTATGATTAATGATCCAAATTAGCATGAGACAGCAATTGTGCAGTGAACACTGAACACCCATTTAACTTCTTATGAGATATTTTTTTAGCCAGCTAGTACTCAAACTATTTGCCTTGTAACATTATGAAAGACACTTATAGATTATCTAAATTATCTTCCTACTTTACAATTTTGGTCCGGGTTACCGACTTTGGGCACATCTACTGGACAGGAGAAATCCAAGAAGTCCCGGATGAACAATATTATTATTATTATTATTATTATTAATGGTTTTGTGTTTCAGTTTCTATTTTGTGTAACTTGAAGCTGTGGTTGAACCCTCGAGCATTGTCTCAGCTGTTTAGTCCGGTTCGTGCAGCTGCTCTTCAGGGACACACATTTAATCATAATTAAGTAGTTCAACTACCTCGACATTGTTGAACCACGTACAGGGGAATATATTTCTTCAAAAATCATACCCCCACGTTAAAATTGTTTTCTTCTGCCAGTATTTTAGGATCTTGTAAGTTTCACTAAATATCAGATTTGAAAGGGAAATGAATTTTTCGCTCAAAATTAGCCTGAAGAAGAAGAAAAAACTCGCCAGTTGATGTTAAATTATTTATTGAATTAACGGAAAGGACTGGATCATCAAGAAGCAGTTCGTTTTTACTAAAAACTTTTTTCCGTTCGTAAGTTAACGTTTGTTTAGGATTGAGATTCAGCCTTAAAGGGACTGTAAGTAACCTTCACCTTTCTAAACATGTAGAGTATACCGTTGTGTTTTACTGACTCGAAAAGTGTTTAATTTTAATAATTTCTCCGTTTCTTCATATTAGCAAGAAATGCGCAGATGAAAAGAAGCAAAAACATGGATATATCATTCATACTTGTTCAGACACAGCGTTTAACGGCACCGTTGTAAATCGGGCATTGCCAACTTTCATCTTTGCAGGGAGGGTCACTTAGAATTAAGCTTAAAGTCCCTAAATAAAAAAAAGCAGCATATCAACCGAGAACAGAGTACCTTTTAAAATAGGCATTGTTATCTTTGCATGGAGGGTCACTTGATATAACGCTTACAGTCCCATTTAAAGATTGAGCTTGTTATATATTGAATGTTTTGTCCATTAGTATCTGTGTAAATTATCTGACTTGGAACTCAGGCAGCAGCATAGCAGAGCCATGGCAGACTTTCTTTGGTCCTGTAATAAGGTTTGCGATGATTTAAAAAAAAAATTCTTGAATTACGTTACATTTTTAAAGAATCATTTTGGTAAAACTTAAATCACTGAAAAAAAAGTTGAGTCTCTCAGGGAGGAGACTGAATGCATAAAAAAGAAAGTTTTCATCTCTTATAAAAATTTGACAACATAAATACTTAAAAATTCACAAAATCTTGTAAAACGTGATTTAACATCAGACGTGAGACATAATTTTTAAAGCTCAAACACGAAAAGTGATTTCTGAATTGTCTAAACGTTCTTTGTTACTGTTAGTACTGTTTTAAAAAAGATTTCTACTTTCATACCCTCAGAGCTCACAGACGGTTGAATTTGTAAAAAACATCTAATTACCAAGTTTTAATTATCCTAATTGGTTTCCAATATGATCTTATAATTTAGCAAAAAGACCCAAAATGTCCGAGAAATTGAATAATGACTTTGCCATTTAGAGAAAATAATCTTAAACTACTCAAATTTCGTAGTAAAAGTAAGTTTTGCCCTAATGCTTCAAAATGTTTCAAAAATCAGGATTTTTTAGAGGCACCCTAGGCCTAGGGTAGGAGTAGAGTGTTAGAAATTGTTTGAAATATTTCTTTCTCCAAACTAAAATAATGAAAATTATTTAGGTTTTTTTAAATTCATTAAATTTAAAAAGTAGTTATCTCTATTCGTCTTTTTTTAAAATTTTTTTTTCAAAATTTGGGGCAAGTTAGCCAAATTTTGAAAAGGCTCACTTTCCATTTTCCAACGTTATAACCACTAGAGTCTAGGATTCTCTTAGGTTGGTTTAAAGATTTTAATGGGACTAGGTTAAAGTTTAGGTTTTAGGAAAAGCTGGGTTCAATGAATAAAGAAATTTGTATTCTTTATAATTTTAAATTCCTTAAGAATTTTTGAAATTTTTTTTAAAATTACATTTTTTTGTATTTAGGACAACATAGATTCTCCCCCTGTTCTGGATAAAGAGGGTTTAGAGCTGGCCTTTAAATATTTCTCCTCTCCTACACTTACCATGCGTCTAGCGGGGATCAATCAAGGAAATCAATCAATCAATCAATTTTTCGATCAATTGATCAATTTATTAATTAACAAATAATTTGATTAATTGATAATGTAATTAATCAAGTAATCTGTGAATGAAAAAATCAATCATTCATCTATTTGATCAAACAATCAATTATTAAATCAATTAATCAATCAGTCAATTAATTGATTAATTGACAAATCAATCTTCAAATCAATTAATTCTTTGATCAATCAATCACTCTGTTAATAAACAATATCAGCCAATAATTGGAACTTTTTGCAGATCTTATCTTGCATAGTTCAAATATTAAATACACAAACAAACTAAATAAAGAAAATGATGGAACTTAATTTATTTTTTTATTTAAAGAGAATCGCTGGGGTTGTTCCTTGCTCCAGGCAATCCCACCCATCAGCACTCCCCCTAATCGGAAGAGATTTCTAAAATTGATTGATAATGATTGATCAGTGAACGCTCATATCTCGATCTACAATGATGTGTGTAGTACAGAGGCAGGACCAGAGGTTGACCAGCTTGGTACACAGCTAGCTGACTGGATTCTAGACAGGAATATTATTCTTTACAATCAATCAATCAATCTTATATTGAGGGGGGGGGATACCTTACATAGCCGGTCACTCCCTTCAATAATTAATCGATTTGTTAAGGTGCACGATCTGATCTCCCCCCTGATCAAGAACCTTGAGGCTGGACCTGTGCTCCACCTGCTCACCCTCCTCAAGACCCTGCCCTTGAAGGAGCACACAGAGCAGACAATATACCTTGCTCAGGTAACACTAGAAACGAGACCCGAGATTAATTTTAAAATCCGCGAAACTTTTTTTTGAAAAAAAGTATGAGTGGATCAATTCAAAATCTGCAGGAAATAAAAGAAATGCAATAAGTTTGTACAGTGTACAGTGTACACTGTACACTGTACCTATGATGTATAGTTGTTTAAAAAATCGTTATCCTCAAAACCTTGTCTATTACGACGAGAATGTTATCGTGGAGTGGCAACACATTTTAAGAATTAAAGAAAATAAATGGCTTAAGGGGCTAATAAAAAAATGGATGGAGGACCATGTTATGGATTATATTATATTTTATGTACAGGTTGTACAGAAGTTTATCTGGTCCAAGGGCAGTGTATTTCCTCTACTACCAGACACCCAACCAGGACGGCGGGGTAGTCGAGCCAGTACAGGATCAGAAACTCAGCGTAGGTTCCTACAGTCGGGCAGGCGGAGCAGTCGAGACAGTATTGGATCCGACCAGGGTCGCCGGTTCCTGCAGTCCGGTAGACGGAGCAGTCGGGACAGTACAGGATCTGACCAGGACCGACGGTTTATAGAGAACCAGAGGAAGCGTAGTTGTACAGAGAGCAGTGAAGATATGGATATTCAAGAACTAGCAGAATTAGACGACGAGCAGGTGACAATTTGTCCTTGAAGTCGGCACAAGCTGAAATAGTGCTGATGCACGGGAGGTATTTGGGATTAAAAATGATTGATTGATTGGTGATTTATATATATATATATATTATATATATATAACTATCTATCTATATCTACATACCTATCTATCTACCTATCTCTAGGTTATAAAGCAGTCTCATGTAATCCTGAATTTTCTTGCCATGGAAGCAAGACTAACCAACGTACACATTGAAGCAATATGGCAGGCAGCCCAGCTCAAGCATTGTAGTAAACAGGTTGGTTATTAACTGGTGATTTGTAGTTATTTGATTGATCTGTAATTGATTAATTGATTTGCGATCAAAAAATAAATCAAATGACCTAGATACACAATATGGTAATACCCTCTTTCTGAACTTCGATAATTTGATTGAAACGTAACTGAAAAAATGATTGATTTAATAATGGAGAAAAGTTTATTTTTGTAATTGATTGATTGATCTGTTAAGGTGTATTTTATAGGGAACCTGGATAATATGAGTTATTTTTTAATTGATTTAATGATTGGTTTATGATTCATTAATGATCGGAAATTGATAAAATGATTTTGCAATTGATAAATTGATTTGTAATTGAAAAATTAATCTGTTTAGATGTATAATCTGATTGACCCTTTGATCTAAAACCTGGATGATTTATCGCTATGATTTTGATTTAATATTTAATTAATAAGGTTCAAGACTTGATTTCCCCTATCAAGATTCTTGAGAATTAAATTTAACTTTAATTGATCGAATGATTGATTCATATTTGATCATTTGATTGATCTTTTAAGGTGCACGATCTGGTTTCCCCTTTGATTTAGAACATGGATAATTTGGTTGTACTTTACTTTGCATTACCTGATTTACCCTATGATCTAGAACCTGCATGATTGATTGAAGATTGATTGATTGAATCTTTTGATTTTGATTTTGACTTAAAGGGAGTGACCGGCTATGTATGTAAGATAGTTGAACTAAGTATACAGTGTTGTGGAAAACTTCTTTCGGATTTATTTGAGACATATCAAACTTTTTAAAGATCTGTAAATCCTGTGCTTGAGCGCAAATTCGACGTTCAAAACTCCTACTTTGGGGGTGGATACGTTTCAGAATCGGTTTNCGAGCAGGTGACAATTTGTCCTTGAAGTCGGCACAAGCTGAAATAGTGCTGATGCACGGGAGGTATTTGGGATTAAAAATGATTGATTGATTGGTGGACTAATACAGTGTCTGATTAATTGATTTGTAGGATAGTAAGATAACATGTATGATTGATTAATTGGTAGGATGGTGAACATAGTGTATAGTTGATTAATCATGGTTGAATGGTGGACAGATGTAGTGAATGATTGATTATTTGGTTGGATGGTGGACAGATATAGTGTATGATTGATTGATTGGTTTCATGGTGAACAAATATAGTGAATGATTGATTAATTGGTTGGATGTTGAATAGATATAGTGTATGATTGATTGATTTGTAAATTGGTGAACAGATAAAATGTATGATTAATTGATTGGTTGGACGATTGGCAGATAGATAGGTAGATAGATTGTATGATTGATCTGATGGTTGGTTTGATGATGGACTGATTAGTTTGATGGTGGACTGAATGGTTTGATGGTGGAATGATTGGTTGAATTGTGGACTAATTGGTTGGAATGTATAGTGGACTGATTGGTTTGTTGGCGGACTGGTTGGTTGTAAGGTGGAGTAATTGGTTGGATGGTTGACTTATTGGTTGGATGGTTGACTAATTGGTTGGATGAGGGACTTATTGGTTGTATGATGGACTGATTTGTTGGATGGTGATTGGTTTGATGGTGGACTGGTTGGTTGGATGGTGGACTGATTGGTGATTGGTATATTGATTGATTGACTGATTAATTGATTGATTGATTGATTGACTGATTAATTGATTGACTGATTGATTGATTGATTGATTCATTCATTGATTCATTGATTCATTGATTTATTTATTGATTAATTATTGGTATTATTTTTTAATGACCAAATATTTGATTTTATGTCAAGCTTCTTGATTATAATGAACTTGTTCTGGATAAACTTGATGAATTTCTTGATTATAACGTACTTGTTCAGGATGAGCTTGATGAGCTGGATGATTATAATGAACTTGTTCAGGATGAGCTTGACGAGCTGGATGATGGAGATGAGTTTAGTGAAGATGATGATGAACTTGTATCCTCCAGTGATCCAGATTCAGATTCAGGGAGAACCCCTAGACATAAACCTACCCATCCAGGTATCTATATATAAAAAGTAGTAATCTCAGTTTGTCTGTTTATTTCTTTGTTTGTTTGTACGATCAAAACTCAGAAACCCTTTTACTGATTTGTCTGAAACTTTGATTGGGGAACTCAGTAGATTGATTGATTGATTGTTTAGATGTAGACGATGATGATCAACTGGATCAATCAGTAGACCTGGATTCCCCTCCTCCCCGGTCCCGGGTCCATCTCAAACCACCTTCAAGTCCCTTGGACCGGCCTCGAGGTCCCACAAGCCGGTCTCGAAGTCCCATCAGCCGGGTGTCTGGTCCCTTCAGAATCACCAGAATAAAGCCAGGGAATAAACAGGAACTACAAAGAAAGGTAAAAACTTTTAAAAGAAAATATTTTCCGCTGAACTTGCTCTACAAATCTGAGTAAACAAGTTTCGTCAAAAAAAGTGTTATTAGTTGCATCTTGTGCGTCTTTTTGTATATATATGAAGCAGAAATCAAAAGTGTCCACAGTGGATATTCATATTATGCGATTGCTATTAAGGGTATCCAATTATTAAATTTTCAGCTCTGATCTGATCTGATCTGTTTTTATAGGTATCCCTGGAAGATGAGGAGGAAGAGGATGATGTTGAGGACAATGAGATACTTGAAGAAGAGGAAGAAGAAGAGAACCTGGAGAATACCAAGGATTCTGATAAAGAAGATGATAAAGAGAATGAGGAGAAGGTTGAGAAAGATAAAGATGGGAAGGAGGAGAATGACGTAGATATTGTTAACAAGGAAATATCATTGAAAAGATCCCGCGAACCTTCTGATAAAATATCAGGTACAGAGTGGTGGACTAATTTTGATTAAATGAACAGTGCAAGGTCCAATAGCAAGAAAAGGGACAGTGCAGTGCCAAATTTTTAACTAAAGGGACCGTGCAGTGTCTAAACTTCATTAAAGGGATTTTTTAGAATATTTTGGTTCAAATGTTGAATTTTCTTGGATACAAATTTTGATAAGATTTTACGGATTTTGGCCACCAAAACTTCGATATTTTGACAACAAAAGCATTAATACAGGAGTATCAAATCATGATTTGATTTTGGTTGGCATTTGAAATTTTCGTTAAAAAAGCTTTGATTAATATTTTGTTCAGGAGAGTTTGAATTCTCCAGCGAGGGAGGAAATCCTGGTCCAGGGCCCAGCCGGGGGGAAATTGGTCCAGGGCCCCGGGGGGATCCACGAGCTAAGAAGGCAAGGATAGTTCGAAAACTGAGTGAAGCGGAGCAGCTACCCCCTCCGGTCAACTGTTCAGGGACTTGGGGAACTACTTGGGACGACGGGGGACAGGTAGATATCTATTCATTCAACAATCAATCTATTTTTTATCTATTTATCTATCTAGTATTATATTAGATGGAGAGAGATGTATATTTACATAAATATAAATATATATTATATATAATATATATCTTCTTAGAATTTGTTTAGAACATGTTCTATTGTTTATAAAGATTATATTAAGATTATATATATATACAAAACTTTCAAGGGTACCGTTGTGAATCAGGCATTGCCATCTTTACATGGAGGGTCACTTGAAATTACACTTACAGTAAATTAATTTACCTAGTACATGTATATGTATGTTCAGGGCGCTGTAATGAATGAATTGGCGAATCTGGTTGGGGCTGGGGAGGATGGGCGGAGAGAGGCGGAGCGTAGTGGAGGGCGTGGCCGCGAAGGAGGGCGTGGCAAGGATAGAGTAGGTGGAAGGAGGGATAGAGGACACCGTCTTACAGACATTTACGCTTCACAATATGTCAGGAACTATAGACAGGATTCCAGGTAGCTCATTCATTTATTCATTTATTTATTCATTCATTCATTCTTGTATTCATTTATTCATTTATTCATTTATTCATTTATTCATTTATTCATTTATTCATTTATTCATTTATTCATTTATTCATTTATTCATTTATTCATTCATTCAACTATATATCTTGTGTATCCAGGTATAAGAACGAGGTGGATACTAGTGGAGAGGGTAGTGATGACGATGAGGGAGGTATCCAAGGATACAGGGACCCTGAGACAAGTTCTCATAACTCTGCTAAATCTGAGAAGAATCTGGAGGATTTTGTAGACGAAGATGAGAGTTGTGAAGAGGAACTGGCTCGCCTTGCTCAGGTAAGGTAACAGTAGGGTAGATATTTGCTGATATTTTCTTGTAAAATAATATTTCTCCTCAGTAATTAGTAAATTAGGTCAGATTTTTCATTTCCTCCTATTAAATCAGAACCATATCTGGGGTAGATAATTCTTAAAAAATAAATCATTATATATATCTGACAATGTTTCCCAAGAGGTACTGGATATACAGCAGAATCCCTTGGAATAGCGACATTGAACTCAAAAAACAAATTCGATCGAGCCCAGCATTTAACATAAATATAACAATGTCTAAAAATAATAACTAATAGTTTCATTTTTAAGAATTATTCCTTTTTTTCGTTTTAATAACCACAATTTCTTGTTTAATGTGAAAAATGTTCAACAAATTAAATTAAGGGGACTTTGGTTGTAATTTCATGTCATCATTCATTTATTGAGTAATATGATAGAATCAGAAATAATCAATTTTCAGCGAGAAAGTCAAGGATATCTCTTCTTCCCTTGATCAGACATAGGTTTGAAGAGCACCTATATAAATCTTGATTATGTCTGTAGGTTGAACAGCTTGGATCAATTCTTCAGCAGCAGCAGTTGGCACAGATGGCCCAGCTCTACCAGTCCAGACTTAACTCAGAGAGGATGCACAACCGTTGTGAATCAGGCATTGCCATCTTTACATGAAGGGTCTTTTGAAATTAAGCTTTCAGTCCCTTTACGAGTTTGAGGAAGCGATCAGTTCCTTCTAATGTGAAGAAATTTANGGTCAATTTTCATGCTATTGCTAGTCTGGTTGACAAGGCCTGGTTAGTTTTGTGGATCAGGAGTCTGGTTAATCAGGTTAGTCTGGTTAATCATGTTAGTCTGGTTGATCAGGTTTGTCTGAATACACATGTCAGTCTGGATGATCATGTTAGTCTTGTTGATCAAGGTTGTCTTGTTAATCAGGTTAGTCTGGTTGATCATGTTAGTCTAATTTGATCATGTTAGTCTGGTTGATCATATTAGTTAAGTTGATCATGTTAGTTTATTTGATCACTTTAGTCTGGTTGATCATGTTAGTTTAGTTGATCACTTTAGTCTGGTTGATCATGTTAGTCTGGATGATCTTTAAAGCCTGGTTAATCATGTTAGTCTTGTTGAGCATGTTAGTATGGTATTGGGTGATCATTTTAGTCTGGTTGATCATGTTAGTATATGTGATCATGTTAGTCTAGTTGATCAATTTGTTGATAAGATTTTTCTAGTTGATTAGATTAGAATTGTTGATCATGTTAGTCTGGATGATCATTATAGTCTGTTTGATCATGTCTGTCTGAACTAAATGACCATTTCAGTCTATTTGATCAAGTTAGTTTAGTTGATGATGTTGATAATTTAGGATGGTGTTCATTGAGGGATGTCTGAAGAATCTGGAGAACAATAAATCTGTTGTGGTTTCTCTGAAACTTATTCCTAAACTTATTCAATCATTCCACAACTTTCCAGGTTGGAACATTCATTCATTTATTAGTTCTTTATTTTTTCACTCATTTATTCATTCATTCATTCTTTCATTCATCCATCAATCAATTCATTTGTTCATCTTATCATCCTTTTTTCACGTATTTTTTTATTTTTATTTTTTTTACATTCTTCAATTTGCAAATATTAATTGATCTTGGGTTTTTTCTTTTAATTATTTAAATTCAGATGCTCATTTATTTTCTTTGTTGAATTTTTTTATTTTATTTAATCATTTATTTAAATATTCATTCAATCATTGATTTGATTTGATTTGTTTATTTGTCTGTTCAATCAATCATTAATATTATGAAATAATTCATTTATTAATTCTTTCAATTATTCAATCAATTACTTTCTATCTATTCTCTTAATTCATCATTCAATTCATAATTTCAAGTTTTCTTTTAATTTAAAGATTGGTGTATTCGATTCACAACAGTAACCCTTAAATCTGCATCTGATTAGGAATAAGGAAGATATCCTCGTTTTCCTATCATAATTCCTGTTTTCCTATCATAATTCCTGTTTTCCTATCATAATTCCTGTTTTCCTATCATAATTCCTGTTTTCCTATCATAATTCCTTTTAATTTCTGACAATATTCTTATAATAATCAAAAGGACGAATGAGATATTCATGATGAGACCAAGGTTTGAAGGGTACCGTTGTGAAGTTACGTTTACAGTCCCTTTAATTGTCAGGCTCGGATACACATGAGATGACGATGTATATTGAGAGAACACACAATATGTCTCAGTTATTCTTCAACAATTTAAAGGTATATTTGTTGGGAAACTAAATTTTGAACGTCGGATGTAGATTGTTGATTTCGCACGTTTTCGTTAATGTTAATGGTAAAAATAACTTCGATTACAAAACCTCCTTGCAGAATTTATTAAACAATCAAGTGGAAATTATCAAAAATACAAATCGTAAGACCTCACTTCATTATTGATTTAGTATAGTCACTTCAATTTTGGGGTGTGGGTGTAGGACGTCCCTAAAAGCATGATTTGATTTGATTTGATTTGAAAAATATGAATACACGGTCTTCAGAAGACAGTGCTTGTAATCAAGCCTTGATCTCTGTCTCCTGCGGACCTACGGATTAGTTCAATTCCTCTTCGATATCCCGTGGTGTTCATACCCTGCACTGCAGGGATAGCTTTAATTTAGGGATAACGCATTTATCCTCTTTAAGAGTGCCAACATTGGATATCGAGATCAAGTGTTCAAGATTATCGATACTCCATACAAGAGTTCAGAGGCCAAATTTTAAGAATTTGAGTCGCGGCTTAAATATGGTTGGTTTCATTTAAATTCAATTTTTCAAGATTTAAGCCGGCGCTCAATTCAAACAGGTTTTTATCCGATTTAAGACGCGGCTCAAATTCATTTAACTTTTGTATTGAGCTTTTATGGAGCTACTTGGTTCCTGTAAATTTTTTCTTATTTTATTCTGTACATAATCTAGGTGTATACTCGAGGACCTCGGAGGGAGGGATTTTATCCACCAGCTACGGAGATACAAGTCCGTTTACACTTTCTAGCTGTCATATTCTCTATCTGTCTATCCCCAGATACATTCAGGTTATCTATCTATCTTCTTATCTATCTATCTATCTATCTATCTAT